CCCCCCTCTCTCTTTCCCTCTCCCCCGCCCCCCTCTCACCTCCTGCCTCTTCCAGGCTCGGACCCGGGCTCAGGAGAGGGATCCAGTCCTATACGGATGCGCACTTCCCGAGCTTCATTTGACGAGAAGACAGTTCAAGCGCAACTACGCAAGGTACATTGCACTCCGCTGTCTGCACCTCCGAGGCTTGGGGGCCGCACGTTCCATTCTCGTACAACTATAAGGGAGAGAGACTATTGCAGTCCAGTCACCTCATAGTAGAAGCGGGCCGTCTCTGGTCTGTCCCTCCTAGACATTGCAGTCCTCTCTGTCCCTCCTATAGATGGAGGGGCATCGCAGTCTTCTCTGTCCCTCTATAGATGGAGGGGCATTGCAGTCTTCTCTGTCCCTCTATAGATGGAGGGGCATTGCAGTCTTCTCTGTCCCTCTATAGATGGAGGGGCATTGCAGTCTTCTCTGTCCCTCTATAGATGGAGGGGCATTGCAGTCTTCTCTGTCCCTCTATAGATGGAGGGGCATTGCAGTCTTCTCTGTCCCTCTATAGATGGAGGGGCATTGCAGTCTTCTCTGTCCCTCTATAGATGGAGGGGCATTGCAGTCTTCTCTGTCCCTCTATAGATGGAGGGGCATTGCAGTCTTCTCTGTCCCTCTATAGATGGAGGGGCATTGCAGTCTTCTCTGTCCCTCTATAGATGGAGGGGCATTGCAGTCTTCTCTGTCCCTCTACAGATGGGGCATTGCAGTCTTTCCTGGATGAGACCCTACAGGTAGAAGGTCATGTATGTTACCTGTCTGTTGGGAGGGGTTTTTAGTTCCCTTGTTTTTGTCGCCCTCTGGTGGGGGAGACTTGTCAGTGAACATGAACATCCAGGTCACTGTGTATCTGCTGGTCAGTATCGCAGTCAGCTGGACTTGTTCTGTAATGTTGAAGACGTTTCTCTGTCATCCGGTTGGTTTCCTCGGTTCTAGTGTTGGGGATTACTCGGTCACCTTGATCCAATCACCGTTGGGCCCATATGATGTGTCCAGGAGAATGTCTATTGTCCAAGCACATGACTAAGCACATCCCCATGATGACTGGATGAAGGTGGCTGAACTACCCGCGTGGGTCTAAATCCTGGACGATGTTCCTGTTCATTAGAATTGAGGAAACCACCAAAACTATGAAACGTTGTTATCACAGAACCAAAGTCCATTTGATTTATAATAATACATTTCGGCTATACATCTTATGCATGTGTTTCTTCTGCCACCCTGCAGTGTTGGTTGTCATTGTATTGCTGTGTCCCCTGCAGGATATTGAGTCCCACCTAAACATCACCCTGCAGGATCCGCTCTGCGAGTCTCTCGCCAATGGCGTCGTCCTGTGCCAGTTGGTGAACCACCTGAGGCCACGCTTCATCCCTTTCATCCACGTGACTTCTCCCGCTGTGGTACGCATACGCCTGCATTCCCTGACTGCCCACAGAGGAGGCCTTCCCCACCCGTCACTTACACCCACTTCTTCTCTTCCAGCCTAAACTCAACCCTGTGAAATGTCGCACCAATGTGGACAGCTTCCTGGAGGCGTGCCAGAGGCTCGGCGTCCCCGAGGTAAACCCAACATGACTTTTTAATTGTCTTGTAAAACAGAGTGGACAGGTCAGGGGGTGGGGGGGGGGGCATTGCTGGACAGGTCTCTGGGGCCAGATCGCTAATGCTATCAAAGCAGATTACGGTTGCCACCAACACTTACTGAGCCTTATGGTCAGTGACCACATTGATTCCTTAAAAGTTCCTATTGGCTACAAAGTTTGCCAATAGGTTCTTCCACCTATATGGCACCTCTAGTCATACAATCTCTGCCGTGTCTTCAGCCATCCAGTATACTGGTGTTGGTCATGAAGACATAGCTGGATGTACACTGGTGTTGGCCATGAAGACATAGCTGGATGTACACTGGTGTTGGCCATGAAGACATAGCTGGATGTACACTGGTGTTGGCCATGAAGACATAGCTGGATGTACACTGGTGTTGGCCATGAAGACATAGCTGGATGTATACTGGTGCAAAGGGCTGACTGACATTAAAGTACATGGAAAACACCTGAACCCGATCATTTGATGGGCTTGTGGGTCATATAGGTAGGTGGGAGGTCAGGTGTCCACCAAGTTTTGACCTTGTAGTGTAGTTTTGGTCTGAATGCTCATGTGTGTGCTGCTTATGCCTCGTTGTATTAACGTATCTGTTTTTATTTTTTGTTTTTATTTCTTTCTCCTCATTTCTGTCATTTTTACCTGTGACATCATCCCTCTGTCCGGTGACATGCACTGTGTAAATTGCATGTGTCGTCTATCCCCGCCCCTTCCTGGTGAATGCCCCGCCTCCTACCCTCACACCAATTCCTGGGTTGGGTCTGATTGGTGACCCCTTTTGTCGGCCACTTTTTCCTAAATGCTTGCCCGTTTCTTTCCCCTTCTGCATGTGACTCTTCCTCTTACCATCTCTTTCACCCTTTTGGCTGTCCACCATTAATCATCTGGGACTCCTGTATGCCTCTTCCTCCTGCTACATTTTCCTTTCCCCTCTCTGCTCTTGTCTCCTCTGCCCCTGCCTCCTCCGCCCTTCTGTCTCTATGCAGCGAGATCTCTGCTCAGCCTCCGACATCCTGGGAGGTAGGAGCCTGGACGTCATACAAAGGATGGTCTCCTCCCTGCTGCTGCTCCTCCTCTCTTCCCGTGACACTCCCACGAGCAGCCCAAGCTCCGCCCTCTCCGATGAGACAGCGATGTGTTCTACTCTCCTGCAGCTGCTCTCCCAACACCACGGCTTCCTGCTCTTCTACGCTCTGCTAATGCTGGCCCTCTGCGTGGCCTACAACAAACTGTCTGTCCTCTAGGAGACGGGCCATATAAAATATGGCTTCCCGAGACGCGACACTGTGTGTCTGTTGTCCGTGAAAAATGGGAGTGCGCCCTGTAGCGAAGTTGGATTTCTCACAAGAGCTGTTCACTAGGTTTAGGTTTTGTTGGATTTCAGGTTACACTTTAAACACTAAAGCCTGATTGGACACTACAGCCTCCCAAAATGGCCTTTCTGAAGAATTCCACCGTGGTATGCCAATGTCGGAGCGGTGGCCATATCTGCTCTAAGCTGCCATCTTGGTGCCGGGCACTATATCAGGTTGACTTTTGCATTAGGTGCCTTCTATTGTGCCTTTTTGGTCTGCTTGTTGTCAGGGAATCGCCATTAGCTGCCTTGAAAGGCCTAGCTTCGGTCGGCCAATGAGAAGGAAGCAGACCTACTGCCTTAGCAAATCATTGATGAATGAGGGCTCAGGGATGCTGATGCATTAAATTCTTTGGAATGTGATGCTTTTTTTTTTAATGTCCGAATGGATCCTTAACGCTCCACAACATATACTGAACTTGATTTCAGACGGCAAAATACAGGGTTGTCACCTTAAAACTGACTACCCCCGGGAACTTAAGACGAAGCTTCAATAGACGAGTATGATGAAAATTGGTGCATGACTTAAAGGCCACCCAAACTGGTTTAAAGACATACTGTCACTTGGCGCATAGCCCGCCCCTCCAGGCATGCATACGTAGCCAGGCCTACCCGCCTAAGCTCTAGTGTCGACTGGTCTCTGAGCTTAGATAGTGGTCACGTCATGGCACCTGCCCATGTGACAGCATTCAGGCCTGGGGATTGGCTACTCTGGCACCATGCAGTGACTTAAACTCTCTTTAAGGTTTGCATGCTTGCTAGCACGTTAGAGTAGGTGTTGGCTTCTGTGATTGTTAGCTTTGCCCCAAATTCTCAGTTCCACCCAACTTCCAGCCACTTAAAGGCTAAAGGACGGTTTCAGCTGACCCTGAAGTATTCTTCATTATAAAGACTGAAGTCATAGTTTGAAGATCTATCTGTGGGAGAGAGGGACACCTTCCTTATAGGCTTGTGGTAGGAGCTCGGAGACCAATATTGGGGCATTTTGGGTGGCGTTGATCTTGGCAGGAGAAAGTTTGAATGCATCTCATAGGTGGAGATGTCCCAAGATCCCCGGGTACTTGAGAATATTGTTTTGCATATTTTCATTCAGGTCTCCTCTGATTTTCTGCTATAGGATGTTCTTCTTCCTTACCAGAAATATCCACCAAAATGCATAAAACTGTCCAAATGGCGATAGTAGAAATTATTGGTCAGGACTGCCAGGTGTCAGATCTCCCCCGTGGAATTACTGGCTGCGCCTGTTAGGAAGACATTCCAGAGCGTCTCACTCCATTTGCTGTATTGTCTATAGTGTAGGCAAAACCCATCATAAGAGCCAGACCCCTTCTTAATCCATGGCCGTGGCAGGCACCATTTCAGTCCTGGTAAAGGTCATTATTGCCAGCAAAAAGACAGCACCTCAATGGGGAACACCTCAATGGGGAACAAAGTCCAAATCCCATTCGCACTGCCACGGTCTCAAAACCACAAGGTATATGTGGTGCCCAGGTGACCACATGGATGGCGCTGTGCAAAACACTAATAGTAAATAAAAGTAATTCACCGGCACACTCTTGAAGGGTTTTCAAAGTATTGATGTGTTTATTCAATACCCAATGTCACATACTGTCATACGGTGCTAACGTTTCGGGTCCGCACAGGGATCCTTCATCAGAGTGTCACAGTCGCTCTGATGAAGGATCCCTGTGCGGACCCGAAACGTTAGCACCGTATGACAGTATGTGACATTGGGTATTGAATAAACACATCAATACTTTGAAAACCCTTCAAGAGTGTGCCGGTGAATTACTTTTATTTACATAAATTGGGGGCACCTTAATGGGGAACACATCAATGGGGGCACCTTAATGGGGAACACATCAATGGGGGCACCTTAATGGGGAACACATCAATGGGGGCACCTTAATGGGGAACACATCAATGGGGGCACCTTAATGGGGAACACATCAATGGGGGCACCTTAATGGGGAACACATCAATGGGGGGGCCACCTCTTTTCCCCCAATACCAGCCTCCACTCTTCAGCAAAGGCTTCCTACAAGATTTTGTAGTACGTGTCCATTCAACCAAAAGCGCAGTCAGATATGTAGAATGAGAAGACCTGCTTCACCATTGGCTTTCTAATTCATTCCAGAGGTGAGCAGTTTGGGTTGAGGTCAGGGCTCTATGCAGACCACTTGAGTTCCTCCACACCAGACCATGTCTTCATGGAGCTGGATCTATGCACAGGGGACAGTCATGGTGGAACAGAAAATAACTTTCCCCAAAAATTTCTTTGTACTGTTGTACCCTTCACTGGAAACACTTCAACTCAATCATATGAGATTAGGGGGGGGGGGGGGTGTTCCTCAATGCAGAGCAAGTGAAATGAGGGGGGGGGGGCATTTTTTGGCTATTGGTCCTCTTCTGTCCTACAATCCACCATGTTGGATTGCACGAGGCTGACGTAGAGCTGCCGTTACTGAAGACTCTGTTGATGTGCTGGTGACTTTTTGGTGGTTTGTTCTATTGGCAAGCCGTGGTGATTGACTTTGGTGTGAAGTCAACTCTACAATTACCGGTAGGTCATTACACCATTAATCCTGCCCAACCATATGGCCGGTTTAGAGCCATTACCATACATGTGGAATTTTGTTTTAATCCGATGTAGGCCAGCCAGTGTATGTCACCTTTCATAAGAGCTTCCAAAGCAATAGCAGAACCTTATCCCAAAAATAACCCTAGCTCCTTGTTTTGATGCGTGTCTTCAGCCATGTGCCTTATGCAACCCCGGACTCTACATCTATACTGCTAGGAACCCAAACATTGGCCTAGAAGCTGGTGCCTACCTTTTCATATTGTGAATGCTTACTGTTCCCTATACTCGTCCTGTAAAGAGATCATCCTAAATACGGTCATCTTGTTGTCCATCCCCCCAATATTTGTGAAAGTGTTCAATTGGAAATAACCAGAGTCCATAACACTACTCCAAGTGGTGGTTCGGGTGCTTTTGGTCTGGCTTGGTTGGACATTTTCCTCTTGATTGCCTCGACCCAGTTCAGAACGGCCTTTCTCAACCTCTGTAACATGGAGGAACCCTTGAAATAACGTTTAGATCTCAGGGACCCCCCCTTAATCACTATTTATATATACACCTCATGGTGCATGGGTGTGGGCAATAAGTATCAATAAAAGAATGGCATACGCGGTGTATTTCACACCCGTGGCTGCTCCTATACAACAATTATTTTCAGGAATTCTAATGAAATGAATAATAATGACCAGAAAAGAAAAGCAGACGCTGAAAATTTGTAATGTTCCCCCCACAGTGGTGATCGGTGAAGAAATTCCCCATTATATTGATGGTCATTGTATGACCACCTTACACTGGCGATCAGTTGGTGAGGTGCCTTCTTACATTGGTAGCCAGAGGAGAATGGCCCCCTGCCATTACTTGTCATTGGGAGTAGGGCTACTCTATACTGGTGGTCATTGGGAGAAGGGTCCCCTTCCACTGGTTATCATTGGGAGGAGGGCTACTTTATAGTGGCAGTCATTGGAAGAAGGGCCCCCTTGTCATTGGGAGAAGGGCTACTTTATTCTGATGGTCATTGGAAGAAGGGCCCCCTTCCATTAGTTGTTGGGAGAAGGGCTACTTTATACTGGTGGTTAATGAGAGAAGGGCTACTTTATATTGGTGATCATCGGGATAAGGACCTCCTTCCACTATTTGTCATTGGAAGAAGGGTTGCTTTATACTGGTAGTCAGTGGGAGAAGGGCCCCCTTCCATTGGTTGTCATTAGGAGAAGGGCTGCTTTATATTAGTGCTCAGTGGGAGGGCTACTTTATACTGGTGATCATTGTGATAAGTACCCTCTTCCATTGGTTGTCATTGTGAGATGGGCTGCTGTATTCTAGTGGTCAGTGGGAGAAGGGCCCCCTTCCATTAGTTATTATTGGGGGGGGGGGGGGGCGGCTACTTTTACACTGGTGATCACTGGGATAAGGACCCCTTATGGGCCCCCTTCCATTGAATATCATTGGGAGAAGGGCTACATTATACTTGTGGTCAGTTGGAGAAGGGCTACTTTTATACCGGTTGTGATTGGGATAGGGGCCCCTTCCATTGGTTGTGATTGGGATAGGGGCCCCTTCCATTGGTTGTGATTGGGATAGGGGCCCCTTCCATTGGTTGTGATTGGGATAGGGGCCCCTTCCACTGGTTATCATTGGAAGAAGGGCTACTTTATACTGTTGGTCATTGGGTGAAGGTCTACGTTATACTGGTGGTCATTGGGTGAAGGTCTACGTTATACTGTTGGTCATTGGGTGAAGGGCCCCTTACAGTTGTGGAAAGATGATTAGGTAGAAGATGATTGGAGTCAGTAGTTGCTGCTCATGGAACCCCTTCCACCCTCTGGCAGAGCCCCGGGATTCCTTGGAACCCTGGTTGAGAAAGGCTGGTCTAGAAGGTCATGTCAGATCAGAGGCGTGGGTCTGTTCCAGAGCCATCACACTTCCCCCTGCAGGAACCTTGGGCCCCGGAGTGGTGCGTACCGGAACTCTTCATTTTGTAAAACACTAACGTGGATCCGGAACGCACAACTCAACCTGACTTTTGTTACACGATGTCAATTTGTTATAATCAAGCCGTAATTGTAACTGATTTCCCTTCTACAATACAGTGTGTTGTCATGATCATAGCTGATCATGTGATCATCTGGCACTGCCCTCTTTTATGATGTAACTATAGCTGCAGATGGAAGATTTGGTTCATAATTAAATTAGCCCTGAGGAAGGGAGAGTGGCCCCTGGGAATGCGTTGGTGCCATTCTACCTACGTCAAGTTTACTGATCTCTCAACAATGGCGCCCTTCTCGTGCCTTGGGGTCTGGCCGGTAGAAGCTCGCCTATTGTTC